TGAAGTTCTGTTCCTGGGAACTAGGATGGGAGGATGTAAAGATCAAAGAAAGGCCCTCTTCCCCCTTTTCCTGACCACAACTCACAGGCCCCTCGGGTCAAGTCCTGGGAGCACAGGTGCCTCATCTCCCTTTCCCCCCTTTCCCTGCACAGTTGGTGACAAATCACCGCAGAGCCACCTCCTGCTGGACAGGCCAGGCCTGTACTTCCTTGGCCCCAAGGAGCTTGCCAGCCAGAAGGCCCCGAGCCATGGAAAGCAGGTGGCATGAGGCGTGGCTTGCGCTTCGCTGTCGAGCTGCCCAGCTCCCTGAGCACTCTTCTCTACGACCCTGAACTTGGTCCCTCGGGGCTACAAGGATGAGCAGCCTGAGGTTTAGCTTTCTGAGAGGTTTGAATGACTAGATTTTAGGAAGTCCAGTTCTTCACTGGGCTGGGGACCTTCTGCAGCTGCTGGGGAAAGAGGCGCTGGCAGAGAAAAGGATGGGAAAGATGGTGCTGCCTTTCTTGTCTCCACTCGGAGGGCCTGCCCCCCCCCGCCCCCCCCCCGTCACTGTTTGGATGTGCTTGCTCACTCTGCTCCTCCCTCGATGTGTGTTTGACTCTTCAGTCTCTGTTAGTACAGGCCAGTTTGTTATTCCATGAACCCTTAAAAGCCACCTGCAGTCCTTCCCGAAACAGGATGGGAGGAAATAAACAAGAAAACAAACCACTGCACAACACGCCCTGACCTGACCGACACGCTTAAGAAATTACACCACCAGTGACCTTGGAGAAAGCTAAGGTTTCTTTTAAGCTCTATCTTGTTAGGTGGAGAAGTGAGGATCTTTTTTTCTATTTAATTAGAAACAAAACATCACAGAAAACCCCGAATAAAAATGATCAACAACAAAAAACCCCCAAACTAAAAAACACTTAACAACCCACTGTTCCCAATGTGGAGAATTTAATAAAAATCTGGGTAGGAGAAATTAAAAAGAAAGTCTCAGAATGTATTTTTTTTTAAATCAGTTATTTCCGCCCCCCCGCCCCCACCAGACCTTTCCCTTAACTGAGTGCCATGTTTGTGGAAAACGTGATTTGATGCTGTCAGGTCTGCGAGTGACCTTACCGTCTTTCCTTTCACCCATTCGGTGGCCAGTGAGCTGGAGGCGATTGCGGAGCCGCAGCCAAATGTTTTAAACCTGGCGTCCACGATCTTCCCCTTCTCATCCACCTGGATCTAGAAGAGACAGGGGTGGGGCTGTCTGTAGAAGCGGCACTCACAGGGCTTCACGGGCTCTTCCCGAGACCTCCGTCTTGTTTCCACTTGAAGTTCTGGCACTAATGACGATGCTTCCTGAGTTTGCTTTGTTCTGAGGAGCTCAGGGATAAGAGTTAAACATAGACAATCACATAGGCCTGCGGTACAGATTAGCTAAATAATGCGCCCCTTTCAAGTTTTGTTTTGTAACCCTCGCCTGCTTTTTGGCTATGAAGCTGTGCTCACGGCTGCTGTGTCAGTCTGCCCTGGAAACGCTGGGGGAGCCTACCTCACGGTCTCTAGCTAATGCTTTTTCCTTGGACCCCAAACCATGCAGTGGTCCCGCCCTGCCCTGCTGGTGTTTTCTAAGACAGGCAGGCAGTTTCTGGCACGCTGCCCTCCCTCCGTGAGGAAGCAGATTGTGAATGAAGCTTCGGTTTACCCAGCCATCCTGTTGTTGCCTTCAGTTTGGGGGAGGTCTGCTTTATTGGATTTCTTATCTCACAGGGGATGGCTAGCTCAACGGCTGTGGTTTTCCTTTGGTCAAACTCACAGAACCTTTTGCTTAACTGACGCTGGAATTGAAGCTGATTCAGTGAGCAGAACAGGGTGATCAGTCTACTGTATCGGAAAGGGTCGGCAGTGTACCAGCAGGAGCGCTAGGACAGACTTATCCTGCCTCGCAGGAGTCCAAAGGGAGACCAGAGGAGACGGTGTGTGCATGTCTCTGAACTACAACGCACTGTCGGCCAACAGGTTCCTGTCCCGGTCCCCGTCCCCAATGAAAACCAGCTGTACCTGTAATTTCATCACGTCGCCACACGCTGGAGCCCCCACCAGTCCGGTCCCAACATTTTTGGATGTCTTGTCAAGAGACCCCACATTTCTGGGATTTTCATAATGATCGACAACCTGAAATGAGAGTTAAGAGAAATCATGATCACTCTTTCTGGTCTTGACTTGATGGTAAGCGCCAAGTCAGCAACCTGAACTTGGCAGGCAATCACTAAATGCCAGATTTTACCCGGTGGGAAGGCTCACGCTCAGGTCAACGAGAACCGTTTGTGACCCAGAGTCTTTACGTCTCCTTTCCAACGACCTTGAGAGACTTGTGATACTGGAGGAAAATCATGTCTTCGTTCCAGAGGCTTTTTAACCACCTATAACCATCGGACCTTGACCCACCTAGATGGCCAGGTTTGTGCTCAAATGGCATTTTTGTTATTTCCAAATACAGCCTCTTCTCAAAGGATAATAACAATTCTGAAAGTGACTATGAGCCATAAATTGAAGGCTTTCACAGAAGCCTGGAGGAGACTGTTACTGGGAAACGATGCTATGAAACGTGTCCAAGTGGGTACGACGATAAAAATCAGGTCCCGTTATGATTTCAGGGCCCCAGGCCTCCCCGGTGCAGCAGCGCACCCCGGTGGCCAGGAGGCTGCCAGGCCGAGTCCCTTGGGCGGGCACTGTCCACAAAACACACCCCTGGGTGGGGGAGGAGCCAAGTCCCGGGCGGCGAGCTGAAGCCAGGAGAGAATAAATGTCTATTCAAACGGGCACACGGAAGGCTCTAATAACCTTGAGGTTTTTTTGTTTGTTTTTTGCCAGTTAACCCAAGTGTGCCGATCGTCCGCCCCCCCTCCCCCCACCGTTCCGACCAGGATGCCGACTCCAAGCCCAAGGACCTACAAGGTAACATCCAATCGGTACTGTTTGCCCCCATGGTGATTCACCACCTTCTGCGGTTGCCTGTGTCACAGTCTCCCGTCCAAGGGACTTGACACGCCCCCGTCCCCTCCCCTCCAGGCAAGGGCTGCAAATCACACACCCATCCCTATGCCCCGCCCCAAACAAAACACGAAAATAAACACACGACTGCGTACTGGCTCCACTCCGGGCTCTGCGCTCCTACAACATAGCGGCACCTGGAAGGTCTCTCTGTGCCGGGCACCCTGCCGAGGCCGCCACAGCACCCCCTTGTGTAGGGGCTGCTCAGAGACCCCCTTTCCAAATGGGGAGCAAGCTCGGCGAAGGACAGCGCCTTCCCCGAGGTCACTTGACCGGGGCAGTGGTCCAGGCGTCAGGTCCTAACAGGACCCTCCTTCCCGGGCTCTTAGGACGTTCAAGGGCTGGGATGCAAGGCGTCGCGGCCAGCGGCAGGGCCGACGGACAGTTACTTTCATTTCGTGCGCGGTCAGAGTCACTGCGCAGCGAGGCGAGTGGAGGCAGTGTCACGCGAGGGGTGGGGTGGGGGCGATCCATCCCTCCAGGGCCGGGCGCCATCCCCACCCGGGCCACGGTGGGGGCTTCCCAAGCGGCGCAGAGTCCCGCGGCCACTCC